TGCTCCGGTCGTTCTTTGGAGGTAGACTCCAGATAGAATTGGTAAGGTACAATCGATACCATCTTTTCTATGTATTGACAAGTCTCCAGGGCTGTCATTCCGTCATGGCAATGGGCGTTTTGTTTCCAACACGCGCTGTACGCGGTAAACCAATCCAGAGCCAATCTCTGTACGGCTCTGGACCAATCACAAGGGACTGCGCCATCTGACCAATCACAGCAGTGAGGGCTCACGGAAAGGAGGGGTTTAGAGAGACTGGTTCTTTGAACTGCTTCGCACGAGTCGTTTACGAATCATTTAGACATGAGGTAAAATTAAATCAATTTTTTGAGAAAACTAACATGTTTTTTGACCTTGCATGCATGTAAACCTGTTTTAGGAGACTCAAAAAACAATATTAGCAACCTTAAAAATGGCATAATGGGGGCACTTTAATTGTCCTAAATAGGCGTGATTTTTTTTATTGCAAAATATAATTTCTTTTGATTTTGCGGTTGAATATGACCCACACATTTGAATCAGTTTTCATGACATTGGCCCTGATAACACACAAAGTCATGTTGGTCTCTCTCTCCCGGAGCGGCAGCAGACTGGTGTTGGAGCGGATGGGGATTTTCCAGGACACTGTGGGAATATGGCAGCCATCTGCAGAGCTCTCTCTCTCTCTCAGGTGCTCTGACAGCATGCTGATAAAGCTCTGAGGAGCGCCAGCGTGTTTGTGAGGTTCTGCCACATTAACCTGGCTGATGAAACGCCCAGCCAATGGCTGTGAGAGGAAATAACACGTGTAAAGCCACCATGATGTGTTTGTTTGACCTACATTGCTATGTGCTGTCAAATGTGTCGTAAATCCACATCTCGACTAGACTGTGAGTTAATTAGTGTTGGGTAATTCTGTCAACTCAACCAGAGGTCCCTGGTTTTTGATTTTGTTCATATTTTTTCTGTAGAAGCAAGGTGAAAATATTTACTGAGTAATCCACTGTAGAGAGGAGTAAAAATTACAGTTTTCACCTGAGATTTGCAGCCAGATTGTGTTAGAAAGATGGCAGCATCATGTCACTTTTACATAGATATTGATAGGTCTCTAATAAAATATGTAGCAGTCTTTCTTGCATTATATGCCAATGGTGACAGTTCAAAAATCGAAAAAAAACCCACTTCTTTATGCCCCCCCGAAGTTTGCATGCCTGTAATTCAATAATCATTAAAGGCATTTTTTAATATTCTTTTATATTTTAGTTCTTCGCAGACCTTTCTTTTGGTATCTTAATTTAATTATAATAGAGGTTTACTATTTTGTAAACCTCTACAAAATAGTGGATTACTCAATAGATGTATATACATATGACATTTAATATGTTGGCTATCATCACTATTTATGTTTGTCTTTCTTCAGAAAAAATATTAACAAAATCAAAAATTTGAGCCAAGTAACTTTCTGAAATTTGGTTTATTTGACACAGAGTGACCCTTAACCTCAAGTGTAATATATATGTATTATATATATATATATATATATATATATATACACACACACACACACACACCTACCTATATTGACTTATTTGATATTCATCTGTGGTTATAGGATCTTGGTGCATGAGGTGTGTTTCCAGTATGCTTAAGTCATTTCCTCCCTCTGTATGAAGTATATCCCTTAGCGCTGACACAGTAGCTTAACAGAGAATACAAAGCAGACACTCACAAAGCTTTAGGCCTGCAGCTGTGTGTTTGGAGCAGTTGTGTGCTGGTTTAGTCGATTAGCTTGTTACACTAGCGTAAACAGGTCGGTTTTCCTGTGCTGCATCGTGGCATGTGAAGTGTGTGTGTGTACGTGTGTAGATTTAATTTGGTTTATTTGACACAGAGTGACCCTTAACCTCAAGTGTAATATATATGTATTATATATATATATATATATATATATATATACACACACACACACACACACCTACCTATATTGACTTATTTGATATTCATCTGTGGTTATAGGATCTTGGTGCATGAGGTGTGTTTCCAGTATGCTTAAGTCATTTCCTCCCTCTGTATGAAGTATATCCCTTAGCGCTGACACAGTAGCTTAACAGAGAATACAAAGCAGACACTCACAAAGCTTTAGGCCTGCAGCTGTGTGTTTGGAGCAGTTGTGTGCTGGTTTAGTCGATTAGCTTGTTACACTAGCGTAAACAGGTCGGTTTTCCTGTGCTGCATCGTGGCATGTGAAGTGTGTGTGTGTGCGTGTGTAGATTTTGCTGTTTGGTGCCTAAAAGTAAGTAAAACCTCACTAACCTACATTGCAGATCTTTTGGTGAGTCCCTGTGATGAGTTTGTCTTTGTAAAGGGACTAAATAATGTCTTGAAATCTAAGCCTGTGACAACACAACCCTTATAGTTCAATCCTATCTGTCTGTCTGTGTCTAATCTATGGTTATTTATTTGTTATTAAATATTGTGATATATTTTTATTAACTTATTGCTATTTGTTTACTTTTTGCAACTTTTTTATGTATTCATTTACTTGTTGTCTATCCATTCACTTACATATTGCTATTTATTTATTTATTGCATTTTTACTGTTTGTTATTTATTTATTGATATTGCTATTTACTGCTGTTTTTATTTATTTATTTATTTATTTCACAACAGTGGTAATTATAATTGGCTTCATTTAAAAACAGCAGACGTCAATGGGACGTCATCACCATGTATGTGTGTGTGTGTGTGTGTGTACTAATTCCTCTGGGTTGTGTGTGTTTTTATTCAGTGTTCCCAGCGGATCAGCCTGTGCAGCGAGACGACCGTAACAGCAGCAGTGAGGATGAGGAGGGTGAGGTGAAGGCCAGTCCTGTGGTGAGGAGGCGCAGAGTGAGGAGGAGCACCGCTGGCTCAGAGCCTGGAGACCCGCAGGAGCCCGAGGTGCTGCGTCTCAAAACAACTCATCACTCCAGCGTTTACTCACTCAATACAAATCAGATAGATATGAGATATGAGCACAATACAAAAAAAGTTTTTTTTTATATCAAACAAATACTTTAGTTATTTGAATTTGCAACAATAGCTGGAAATTATACAACTACACTATACAATAAATAATGTTACGACATGACAGATATAAATTCATAAACATGCTTTCACTGGAAAAGAAATTCAGTAATTTCAAATCTAGGTATAATAATTTTTTTTATAAATATTTTTTGTATTTTCATTGTAATTGTAGTTTTTAGTTTAGTTTAGATGAATCTTTTTTGTTAAGGTTTAATTACGTTTATTTGCCATATTTATTTAATTTTTGTTGTTTAAAAAATAAACTGTTAAATTAAAAAATAAAATATATATATAGAGAGAGAGAGCTTTAGTTATTTTAATGCATCAAGTGAAACTAAATAAAAATGAGAAATATTCCCTAGCTACCTTTATTTTATTATTTTATTTTATCAAATGACAAAAATCCTATTTATGATTTTCGTTTTAGTTAACTGTAATAACCTTGTTTACACATTGGTTATTTATTGAAATTATGTTAAACATATTTTAGTGTACTGCCCTTTTTAATGTAAATAGATAACATTTTTATTCAAATATATAATGATAATACCAATAAATATTTAAAAATAAAAAAATAAAAAATAAACAGATACTTTTGCTGGAAAACGATGGACATATGCGATACAAAACATTACTGATTTGTTTACAATGAACCTATTCTTTCTGATGCAACCAAGATATGAAACCCTCATTAATGTATCCAGCTGTCGCAACACCGACATTAATTGTGCATGTTCTGAAATCCTGCTCGTGTGTTTCTCCATCAGCTGTTTGAGGAGATAGGAGCTCATCTGGACGGACGCGCTGCTCCCGTCAGCGGCACCCTGAACAAATGCATTTTACTAGCGCTGCTCATCGCCATCAGCATGGGCTTCGGGCATTTCTACGGTGAGCAGGGACATAACGTCTGTCTCTTCTTATTAACCCTCATAATGCATTCGGGTCTGTTTTGATCTGCAAGAGATACATACTAATTTCTAAAAACTGCATAGTTTTTAGTTATGGAACAAAACTTTTCAAGTGTTAAAAGACCCTAAAAATACACGTTTATTTATTTTCCAGATTTTTTGCAATTATTTTTAAGAGATATAACCATTTAATTATTTATTTGGGTAATTTTGATACATATGGAGTACCATTAGGAGTCAAATAATTTTTGTTAAATTTTCTGTGAATTTAAAAACTTATGTAAAATACAGTATATTTAGCCTTTCCCCTTATCTCACACAGTTTTGGCACTGAATGTTGTTGATAAACATTATATGTATGCCTATTGACGAAGTTATGACCGTTTTATAAAGCAACGATTCTTCTGTGAAAATTTTCTACAGATTTTGAATGCATTATGTGGGTTAAATGATTAATTAAAGTTAAACTTTTAGGATGAGTATCCTTGCAATTATTACTGTGCAAGTAAATAAAGCTTTATTCCTAAAATAAAGGTATGTACAGAAAACATATGCTGTACATAAATGGTCACACGTGTGTATTCTGTGTGTGTGTGTGTGTGTGTGTGTGTGTGTTCCAGGCACAGTCCAGATTCTGGAGAGGCAGAGGATCGTGGAAAAGAGTCGCATGAATGAGCTGGAAGCGCCGTGTAAGAGAGAGCTGGATGTTGTAAGTAAGGTCAGTTTGTCACAAACCGCTCACTGAGCTTTACTGCGGATAGAAATGCTTGGTTACTTAATTGGATTCAAACAGGGATAAAATGAGCATTCAACTAGAGTTTGAATCCAGTTTTCTACAGATAGCTCTCTGTGCTTTTTGGTTTCTCATGTTGTTTAATTGGTGAACTTTTCTACAGCTTTCATTGTCCTGTAGATGCTGATCATTTTCTCTCAGATTCAGCTTTAGATGCTATGATTTAGTGTCCTTTATCTTTATCCTTCCACTAATACATTTAAATCACTTTTGCTGTATTGTTGTTATTGGGCGTCTTTACATTCCCTGGCTCAGTATTTAATGAATGTATTTTTTTTCCTAATTATTACATTTTTCTAAATCTGACCTAGTTTTGTGTTGCTTTAGAAAAGAATTACAAATGATTTTTTGATGATGAATTATATGCAAGGATGCAATAATTTGATAAAAAGTGACAGTAAAGACATTTGTAATGTTACAAAAGATTTCTATTTCAAATAGATACTTTTCTTTTGAACTTTCAAATATATCAAATTTTCAAATTCAAATGTATCAAATTTCTTTTCAAAATCAATCAAATGTATCAACGTTTCCACAAAAATATTGTGCAGCACATCTGTTTTGAACATTGATAATAATCAGAAATGTTTTTTGAGCAGCAAATCAGCATATTAGAATGATTTCTGAAGATCATGTGACACTGAAGACTGGAGTAATGATGCAAACATTTTTGGATATATACATTTTTTTTTTTTTTATAATAATATATCACAATTTTTACTGTATTTTTGATCAAATAAATGCAGCCTTGGTGACTTCTTTCAAAAACATAAAAAAATCTTACTGACTCCAGACTTTGAACAGCAGAGTAGCTCTTCATGGGCGTCATTCTCACGTCAGTCTCCATGCGTTTAGGAAGCGGTTGAGAATCTCAGGGAAGACCTAGAGGTAAAGCAAGACATGGTGCTGTCCCTCATGAACGTCATGGATAAGATAACTAAAGAAAACCAGCATCTCAGAGTCAAACAGGAAGAGTTACAGGTAACCTGACTGCATTATTGTTTCCTCCCAAAATCTCTCATGTTTTGGGGGAAACTAAAACAAAGTATAGCTGCAACAAAATTCACCAATTTTTACTGATTGTAGTTTATAGTATCTAGTTTTTTTTATATATGTTTACAATTGGTGCACATTCTGTTTTCATTTTAATTTTAGTTAAAGTTTTAGTCATTAAGTGTTTTTGTCAATTCTATTAGTTGTTTTTTTATTTATTTAATTTATTTAAATTAATTTTTAAATTAATAAAAACATTTTTGTTCGTTTAAATAAAATAAACATGAACTTAATTAAAACAATTAAAATTAAATTAAAATTAAAATTTTCAATTAAAATGAAAAAAGATAAAATTCAAGTATAGATTAAAGCATATATATATATATATATATATAGTATCTCAGTTATACTAAAACAACACTGGCTGAAGTAAAATGTTTATTTTATTTCAAGTAATAAAAATGTTTTTATGGTTTTAGGTTTAGTCTTACAAGGGTATATAAAGAACTGAGTTTTGTATAGTATTTTCTTTAAACTATGTCTAAAAAGGGTAATATTTGATGTATTTGAGGTCTGAGATGTGGGAACGGTGAAGAGAGAGAGGGCAAACATATTGCATTTTAGGTCAGCATTGCTGTCCGATCAGCCAATATTGTCTTAAATAGCCTACATAGCACTTACATTAACAGACAGTAACATTAAGTACATTATGCTGCTTTATCATGTTATTTTCATGTTATTCTTTTAGTTATTTATGTAAAGCAGCTAATGAATCGGAAGTTCTGCACATATAAGAAAATAACTTCATAGATGCAAACTCCTCACCTTTCAGTGACAACTCACCTTTTTGAGATGGGGGGGGGAAACTATGTCTAAAAAGGGTAATATTTGATGTATTTGAGGTCTGAGATGTGGGAACGGTGAAGAGAGAGAGGGGAAGCATTTAGCTTTTTAGGTCAGCGTTTCCGTCTAATCAGCCAATATTGTCTTCAATAGCCTGCATAGCACTTCATCTTTTATGACATGGGATTTTGACCAAATATATTCAATCTTGATTTTTGTAAAATGTTGCAACAAGATGTTAATTTTTCTTTTTCTTTTTCTTTTTTTTAAATTACAGTTTTGGACAGAAGATATTTTGTAAATTTCCTACTGTAAATATATCAAAACTTAATTTTTGATTAGTAATATGCATTGCTAAGAACTTCATTTGGACAACTTTAAAGGCGATTTTCTCAATATTTAGATTTTTTGCACCCTCAGATTCCAGATTTCCAAATAGTTGCATCTCAGCTAAATGTTATCCTATATACATCAATGGATACATCTTATTTATTCAGCTTTCACAGAGGCGTCTCTGTCGGCTCTGCAGGAGGAGCTGCGGTCCCTGCGGGGACAGATACGAGAGCTGGAGGAGAGAGGGGCCGGGGCCGACTCCATCATGTCCGAGAACCAGCGACTGAAGGGCCACTTACAGGAGGAGAAACAGAAAGTGCGCAGCTTCATGAGCCACAGAGAAGCGCTGATGGCCGAAGCCCAGGAGCTGCGGAAAGAGCTCGATAAAGAGCGCAAGGTGACCGACAAGCTCAAGGAGGAACTGGAGGAAATGAGGAAAGAGGACGTCGAAGGCAAGACGGATCCCGAGACGGAAGAACTACAGGCGCGACTTCAGGAGCTCGAGAACAAGCTGAAGTTCGAGCAGCAGCGCTCCGATCTTTGGGAGAGACTGTACGTGGAATCGAAGGAGGAGAGAGCGAAGGGCGACCGGGATGTGAAGACCAAGATTCCCAAAGACGGGATGCTGGGAAAAGTGAAGGAAACCTTCGACGCTGTGAAGAACTCCACTAAGGAGTTTGTGCACCATCACAAGGAGCAGATCAAGAAAGCCAAAGAGGCGGTGAAGGAAAACCTCCGGAAGTTTTCCGACTCTGTTAAAACGACGTTCAGGCATTTTAAAGACTCGGCTTCGAAGGTCTTCAATCATCAAAAGAGAATTCACGACGCCAAACCCGAGCATCACTCGTTCCAGCAGGAGCAAAGAAACAAGCGCGCTGAAGACTGGCAGCCGCAGAAACCTTTACACCGACATCCTCGCAAATCAACCCTCGACTCCGTTCACGCCGATCGCAACACGCGCAAACCCAGCGCTCGGAGACAGCACGGCATCATGGGACAGAAAACGCCGCCCAAAGGCTGTTCTGGAGTGTTCGACTGCGCCTATCAGGAGTCCATGAGTCTGTTTAACAAGGCCATGGATCCCATCCGCACAGACGAGTTTAACGAGCTCCTGCGTAGCTATTTGCAGAAAGAAGTGGGGCATTTCCACCACTGGAGGGAGCTGGAGAGCTTCATCGGTAACTTCTTCTATAACGGCGTCTTCATTCACGACCAGATGCTGTTTACGGACTTCGTCAGCGGCGTTGAGGATTACCTCGAGGAAATAGACGAATATCACAGCCTCAGCGACGACGTGTTTGAGGATCTGGACGACTACATTTATCGCCACATATTTGGAGATGCGTATTTAAAATACTTTGGGCCGAGGTAAGATGTTTTGTGGTGTGGAATAAACTTATTTGGAGACTCAACATGAGCCCGTCTTGCTTCCATAATTTACATGTGACTTGATTTTATCCATCAGGGATTGACAATTTGTTAAGCCCTGCCCCTGTTTAACGTTGCGTGCTTAATTAATTTTATTAAAGACATTGTTAAATTAGGCAGTAATGTGTTGTAACATTTCTACAATGCATTCACTATAGTTTGGCAAATGTAAATGTTTTTACTAATGTTATAATTGTTTATTTGGGAACAGTTTAATCCACAGACTGGTTATATTTATTTATTTGTTTTATGTTATAATATTATAGTATTTATTAATATTTTGAATCAGCGTTTATTTTTATATTTTGTTTTCATTTTAATTTTAAGTAATTTTATGTGCTTTTGATATTTGTTTTTTCATATTTTTATTATTATTTTTAAATTAAAATATTTTTTATTTTATATACAGTATTTCTATTTGATTTCTATTTTATATTTTATTTTTAGTAAATGTATTTCTTCAACTTAAACTTAGTTTATTTCAGTTAGTTGCCATGGCAACATTTCAACATTTTGTTTAAGCTTTTTAAGTTCAGTTTTTCATCTAATATTTATATTTTATTTTATTTCAGCTTTATTTTAATGACTAAAAATGATTTTAAACAGTTGTAGATTTTGTTAATTATAATAACACTGCCACAGGCAATTGAAAACAATATTTTAATATTTAAAAAAAATAATAATTTGGAAAATACTGTTTGTGTCCTTTATGAATATTGTAGTGTTACTACAATAAGAGCACATTTATTGTATTTTGAGAAAATTTAAATGTAAAATTCTGTTCAAAAACTATTCACTGTTCACAAATCATTCATAAAGATTTATATATAGACATAGACTTGTATTAAAATGCATAAGCTTGTCTGATAGCAGCAGTTGCTGAGCTAGGATTGGTCAGTAATGTAATGTATTCGTATCGTCTGTAATCATTTACACGCAGGTTGCATGTTCATAACCTTTTTTGTCTGTGTTGCTTCTCTGTCTGTAGGTCTGAGAAACAGTAGAGTCTGCATGTACACACACATGAGGCTTTGTGGCAAACCCTAAACACTGTCCTGTTTGTAAATTTGCAGTCGACCCTTCGAAGGGCCGGGGTCGAAGGTCAAGGCGTGGCGTCAGTGCCAGCGGCAGCCTCGTCCTCAGAGAGCCAAGAAATGGAGCCAATCGGGACGCGACCCCAACCGACAGTTCGCAGATGTCAAAATAGAGCTGGGTCCCATGCCCTTCGATCCCAAATATTAGAAGAAACATTTCAGTTCTTCTCAATATCGCTCCTGTTTTGTTTGTTTTGCATTTGTTTTGTCTTGGAGGAGGTTCAAGAAAGCTTTGGGTTCACCTTTTCTGTGAATTTTTTTTTTTTTTGCACAGTGTAAATGTTTGAATGCTGGTTGAATGATTTCGAGTGCGTTTCTCTTTCTGGACTTTTAAGCAGCTTTAGAATTAATTACAGGTATTTTTGAGGCACATTTATGTTCCCATTCCATGAAAAAGTATCGCAAATTATTTTGGATTACTAACCAAAAAGGCACTTTGTTTTGTTGCGTTTTAATTAATTATTAATGTTTTCTAAACAAACAAAACTAGATCAGAACAAAAATGTATGTTTAATTTTGCTTAGGACCAAATAACCAATAAAATACATTATATTGAAATCATTTTCATCTCAAAAGTTCAGTAGAGTTGGAAGGATAATGAAAACTGCTCTTAATTATAAAGCTCACTTTGAAGTAATCTGCTTTCTGCCGTATGTCACCGGTTTTATTTGAACATGCAAATCAGTAGAAGATATTATTTAAGATTTAGTTTCAATCTGCACTTGTTAGTGCACTATTTTGCCCTCTTGTCTGTGTGGTTATCGGCTAAATTACATTCCTTGTTTGGAAATGGCTGTAATGCAATTGCACACAAATGCACTTAAACTGCTTAATGTTGCACTTAAAACTTTAGAATAAAAGTCTTTCACTGCTTCATTGATGATTGTCCTCCTGCTTTGAGCAGAAAGAGATCTGATCTTACACTGGAGTGTGAAATGAAAGAGACAGTGTAACAAAACTTTTTGCAAAAGTTTGCAATCAGTTCAAAAAAATCAAACTTTAATTAATCTTCAGTGCAGATCCTCTCGTGTATATTAATATGTTCCTTCCCACTCGACCTTCAGGAAAGTGTGTGTGGAATATTTCAGCTTGTTTGGCGAATCGGTTTTCCTCCAGGAATGATGAAATCTCCTGAAAGGGAAAGGTGAAAGTATAATCAAATAATGTTGATTGTTTGTGATTTTTGAATTCTGATCGTAAACATTTGCTGATGTGATTTGACTGCACGTCATTGTTTTGGCTCTTCTACCTTCTCCAGGCCGTCGAACAGCACTATATGTGAAGGTAACGTGGACTGAGATGGGAAGGATGTTTGGAGCCAGTGAAGAGGGTTGGAGAAGAACATGTCTGCTTCGTCCACATACTCCTTATTTCCCGTGAGATCTGGTGGACACTCCAGGAACCGCAGTTTGAGGGGACAGTGCAGGTGACTGCAAAACATAAATAGAACAAGCCTTTTATTGCACATTTCTAAAACCTCTGCTGTTAAATCTGTCACACACGATCTACTCCATACCTTCTGTCTTCTGATTGATAGCAAGTAAAAAATGTCCTACCTGCAGCTGGTGCTTCACATGTCTTTCTATTGTCAAATCTTTATTGATTTTGATCAAGTAAACATAAGAATAACTGCAGTAATATTTCCAGATGAACACTTACTGGACTGAAGCAGCTCAGCTTTACTTGATTCTCCATCAATCATTTTTTAGAGTCTCAAATCTGATCATCAGGATCTTTTGAGGAACGTTTGTTTATTCATCTCTCAATAATTGCATTGCATTCTATGTTTTGAAACTACAGAGCTGTGGTGCCACTTTACTTGAAGCCTTCATATTTAATGCATTTGTAATGCATACATTTGCATTTAATGCATACCGTTATAATACATTATAATTCTTATCTATTCACTGTCACGCCTTTAGAAAGTATCATGCACTGAAACACATGACAAACAACCAATTTCAGATGTAACACAGAATCTGCAAATATTAAAATGCATTTTAACTTTGGATAAGTTATTTATGAAAAGATATAGTGCATTATACATTATGAATACCTTTATAAATGCATTATAGTGCACCAACTAAGCATTTAAATCTCATCTTACTAAGCCATATTATTGGAGATATAGAGTGACGTCTGATATTTTTATACATTTATTTAAGTATCTGCTCTACTGTAATAAAGATCTCATTGAATTACAAGCTATCATAATTCCATCTTAATTTTACCACATAAATATCAGCATCTGCACCACATTGCATATTGTTGCATATTGAGCACAAAAGCAGTCTTAAGTCGCTGGGGTATATTTGTAGCAATAGCCAACAATACATTGTATGGGTCAAAATTATTGATTTTTCTTTTATGCCAAAAATCATTAGGATATTAAGTAAAGATCATGTTCCACGAAGATATTTTTGTAAATTTCGTACTGTAAATATATTGAAACTTAATTTTTGATTAGTAATATGCATTGCTAAGAACTTCATTTGGACAACTTTAAAGATGATTTTCTCAATATTTAGATTTTTTTGCACCCTCAGATTCCAGATTTTCATCTCGGCCAAATATTGTCCTATCCTAACAAACCATACATCAATGCAAAGCTTATTTATTCAGTATTTATTCGAAAAATTGACCCTTATGACTGGTTTTGTGGTCCAGGGTCACATATGATGCACGTGCAGTCTTGTTTTTTATTACATTTTTAAAAAATATTGTCTTTAAAGTTTGAATAAACCGTTCCATTTCATAAAATATTTTTTTCTGACTATTATTTAATCTTATGCTTTACAGGGTTAATGCACTATGGCATTTCTGAAGTACTTCAAAGAATCCAGCAATGGTTTTAGATGTAGAAGGTTACCTGTAGAGCGGTGTGGAGTGACACGGCATGAGGAACAGCAGCTCAGGTGAGCTCTGAGAGTCGCTGGGGTCACACAGTTGCCGCAGGTCATGCATGACATCCAGAGATCCACGCTGGTGAATCAAACCCGTATATAACGCAGGAATCAGATTGAAGAGCAGCAGGGCAGCAGCAGCAGGTTTCCTCCACGCTTGCAGCTTCGCTAGAGACACACCTGTCAGCAAGAGAGCATGAAGATCTTCAGAGCGCTTTCTTATCTACACAAATGGCTAAATGTTCACGCACTCACCGCTAAATATCATACAGAACGGCAGCACGGGATAAACAAACCGGAACTCCTTGTGTGCCAGCAAACTGCAAAAAACATATTCAATGAGCTAAATAAAATAGATTTTTGGTTTTCTACATATAAAACAATTACTGTACTCTTTGAAGTACTTCAGAAATGCCATAGTGCATTAACCCTGTAAAGCATAACATATTAAATAACAGTCAGAAAAAAATATTTTATGAAATGGAACAGTTTATTCAAACTTTAGACAAAATATATATTTTTAAATGTATTAAAAAAAACAAGACTGCACGTGCTTTTTGCGAGTATCATATTTGATCTATCAGGCTTTTATGGCTTGTATAAAATTTGTTGCTTTAGGCATTTTGCTCCGAGCAATCCACATTTATATTTTTTTTATTTCTGTAATCCCAAAGTGTGTGAATAAAATGAAAACTACCTTTCCATAGAACACAGAGTCTATCAGTGTGGAGACGGCCAAATGACGGCAAAATCATCAAAGCAAGGTGGCTGCTGATTAATATAATGGATGTTTTACTTTTCATTTTTGGTTCAAGTGTTCATTTTTGTTTTGGTTAAATTCACCAAATTCGCATTAATAGCATATTAAATTCATTGCGGGATACACTGTCATCATTGCTAGCTACTTTTGAAATACAATTCAATGCAATAAATATATGATAAGTACAATGTAAATAAATATATTAAGAGAATTTAGGGGGAAAATTGAATTCTCATGAAGATAATGTCAAAATGCAAAATAATAAGTTTCCTTCTGTCAAAACAACTGCATTAAACATACGTGAACATACATGGAGGTGCACTGAGATCCCGATATCTCTGGGATTAAACCATACAGGGCCTTAAAAATGAGGATGATTTTTATGAAGATTTTACGATTTTACTAACAGAATCTGTGTAAAAATAACATTATGATGCTGCCATCTTTCTGAAGTCATTTTTAACCACTTGTAATTTGACTCTGAATTTCAGGTGAAAATTGCCAATTTGACCCCTCTCTACAAAATAGCGGATTACTCCGTAAATATTTATCCATGACATTTAATATTTTGGCTTTCATCACTATACATGTTTATCTTTCTTCAGAAAAAATATTAGCAAAATCTAAAATTTGAGCCGGGGACTTCTGGTTGAGTTGACAAAGAATGACCCACCTGTTGTGTGTTTTGGAGCCGGGTAAAGGGTAAAAGCAAAGCGCCAGGGTGGTCAGAACCGTTTCCATAGTGTTGGTCAGAGTCCGGCTGCAGCAGAACCAGGTGAACCATGAACACAGCTGACAGAAATACTGAGAAAACACAGCAGAACTGAGTCAAACCAGCACGAAAGCATTCTAATTAATGATTGTGTATCTGCATAATATCATAAAAGGAACAGTTCATCCAAAAGTGAAAATCTGCTGAAAATGTGTGCATCCTCAGGCCATCCCAGATGTAGATGAGTTTGTTTCTTCATCAGATTTGTAGAAATGCAGCACTGCATCAGTGTCTCAGCAATGGATGCTCTGCAGTGAATGGGTGCCGTCAGAATGAGAGTCCAAACAGCT